TAAAACTCAACAACATAGAAAATATAGTTTCTTTTTATTTTCTTTTTTTTTTTCCTAAACAGCACTTATCACTTGAATAATAAGAATTTTTTATTGCTGCAATTATACATGCAACTTTTCTCAGTTCAACAATGGGAGGGTGATGGGCACATTGAGGACATATCAAAAACAAAGCTTCCTTAGCCACTGCTTCAACTGGAACATTAATGACCGCTACAGGCTAGTATCGTTGTACCACAGAGACCGTGGTTGCAGTCTGGTGTAGACAAGACAGACCAGTCAGCTACATATGGTAAATGTACTTGAAACAGCAAACCCCTCTGCCACCTTCACAATATGTTGCAAGAGCTGCTCCCCTCTCAAGTTCTGACTAATTTTATTGCATCTGAAAAAAAGAGAATGCYTCATCAAATCATCTGGACAAGAGAAACATTTTGTTCCATTGTATACATTTAATATGTGTGAAATGACAAAYAAGAAGAAGGGAGCATAACACTATAAGTAGTAGGGAGAAAATTTGACATGAGAAAAGGAGGATAAGAGAATGAAAGGTAAAACTTATAGAGATACTAATTGTTAAAACTGCAGACAAATAAACAGCAACATGCAAGAACACAGTGTGAGATTGGAATGGGAAATGGGAGCATTATGAGAGAAAGGAATGCAAAGTAAGGAAAATAATCAAGGACAGCAGGAAACCTATACTACTGAAAATAAAAGAATTACAGGGCTTCCAGGYGCTCTCCTCCCACATTAAGTCACTTAGGACTGAAGCAGCGGGGATTTGTTGGGTCTGAAGATGAACAGAAAACCCCTTTTCCCCCATGGCAGCATCTGCCGCTGGGAATTTATGTGGCTGTTGTGCCAAAGAGGAGAGGAAAGATGTGATCAAACACGAAGAGGATGGGAGACTGAGAGACAAGCTGTAATCGAAAGAGAGAAAAGGAGAGAGAGAACAAACCACAAGCACAGCGGAAAGTGCAGCGGAGAACACTGAAATGATACAGGAAATGACATCAAGAAGAACTAAACAAAAAGGGTAAAAAAAATACATACAGTATAAGATTGATTCTTGAGGGTACTATTTCAACCAAGAAAGTGTTAAAATATCTGARAAGTCAAAAGTTCACATGGTATAATCAGATTTTTAGTGGGGCAACTGCCTGCAAGCTGTTTATCTTTACTGTAATTTACTAAATCTCCACTGTACCGCACAGTAATTGACTAATTTACTAAGATGGAAAAATTAAAAAAAGAAGCAGTGTACTGTACCAGAGACATATTGATGCAATATTTTTACACAAGAGACTTTGCAGCACTTCAATGTATCTTTTAGAACAAATCTTTATATGTTACCTTACTTTTTTCTCTTTTATTTCAGTTTTTGTAAAGTTTTAACTTTTGGTGTCAGAGTTTGCATATATATTGAATAAAAAAAGACAGTCAAGATTTGGCAATAAGATACTTTGTTGGAGTTTGGAAAATAGTTACCCTGATTGTGTCAAGAATTTAAAAATAGCAGGTCTGACTCAGTTTTTCCTCTGAATGAATTAATCCCAGCAATTGTAGAGAAGTGGTTGGGTTTTCACCATCGCCTTKAGAGAAACTCGTCACTCTGCCAACCAAGCAGGCTTGTCTGGGTCTGACAGACAGACGTGACAGGAACATGACTTCTTTTCACGCTTCAGTCAGTGGAAGAGAAGTTGTTGCTTTCTGTAGCATCACCATGTAATTTTAACATGGTATGTAACTTCAAAGCATAACATTGCTTCCTACAGTCAAACTCATTTTAGGTGTTGTCGTGAGCCAAAGCGTTGCAAAGCTCATGAGTTTAAAAAATACACAAATTAGCTATATTTTACTTCCTTTGTTTCACTTTTTTTTGAAGTGCACTGCAACATTTTTTTTTCACTTTTCTTAAAGTGCACTGCACCAAACGTTGTTATTCCACACTTACTCTACACATCGTTCTGTCCCACTTTTGAAAAGGGGAACCGCCAGCTCAGTCCGACAATCCAGTGATATTATTGCCCTGCGACATCCAGAGCCTTGAGCAACTCAGGGAGGATAACATCCCAAAAAATACTGTAAAAATACTGTAGGATGTTTAGTTTTGTAAATTTTTAAAAATATATTTTAACACGGACGGAGCCATTTTATTTACACACAAAGCATTCTGGGTAAATGTTGACATGGATGGGTCCTTGGTGTGAGCGAGTTATATCCACCCTGAAGGTTAATCTTGGACAATATCTGATGATCGACACTTTTAAATGAAATCAGAGAGCGTTGACAGAGAGGAGAAGGTAGAAATGACTCAGCCTGTAAATGAAAACGTGGATGGAGGACAACAGAGCTGCTTCATGGAAGAACCTCAGCTTAGCCTGTTAGTCTTTGCGCTAGTGCTGATGCTATATTGCCTCATATGTATTAGCTCGGCGCTAACGCAACAAACAAGCTAAACTGAGATCATCCATATTTTCAGTTCAGGCTGAGTCATTTTTGTGTTTCCCTCTCTGTCATGTGGATGGAGGACCTCAGTGACGAGAGGAGAATGTGTAGC